TCGCTGTGCCGATTGGGGGGGGGGGCGTGTGAATATATGTAATATATTTGTATAATCCTATCTTCAGTGAAAGCAATCCTTTACAAGATTACCTATGTCCAGATGTATTTTATTCTAATACTCTAAAATACAAGTGCAATAAAGATTATCAACAATCAGAAGTACAAACATCTGATTTAAGATACATTCAAGAACGAAATTAGTACCAACTTTATATTTCAATGAAGTTCATCAGTTTCAATGAAGTTCAGTATAATATTAGATGATAAACAGACATAACCATAAAATATTATTTTTCTACATCCAATATCTATTTTGCTTTTAAATGAATAATAAAAACAGTTACCTAGTAAACATCTTAAAGTACAAGTTTTGATAACTGTATAAAAATTACTAAATATTTTGCCATGTTTTGAACGAATTAAAAACTAATTCAGCTTGTAGGCAGTATTACCAAATGTAAGTACCTTTTCTCCAGGCTCCCCAGGAGGTCCAACAAGTCCAATTGGGCCTTGAGGTCCTTGCTCTCCTGGCCGTCCTATGGAGCCTTCAGGTCCAGGTGGTCCATGGTCACCTCTGTCTCCCTTAGGTCCTGACAATCCTGGTGGTCCTGATTTACCTGGTAATCCCTTGAACCCAGAAATAAATATTCAGATTTATCATCTATATACTATCCAACATATTACAAGAAGTGCAGTTGTCAGAAGTTTTAATAACAAGAAAGAACATCTGCCATTAAAAACGTACCAAGTATTTACATAATATTTGAACAGACTATTTACAGAAAATAATTTCTCACTGAAAATAAGAATCAGGGCATTAAACTGTGCATAAATGACTGAAGTAAAACATAATTTCTCACTGAAAATAAGAATTCAGAGCATTTAATTGTGCATAAATGACTGAAGTAAAACATGCATGAAATACTAAGATATCTTGACGTAATTCCAGTTAAGAGACATTTCAACAGGGTAAAAAAAGTAAGACTTCGTTATTAACAGTTGGAAATGAACAACATAATGTAAAGTTAAAAATGAATAAAAGTTTAATTTTACCACTAAACCTGAAGGTCCCGAATGGCCTTTAGCTCCTTTTTCACCAGGTGATCCCTGTTAAATGAAATCAATTAGGATATTTTATTTCAGGATAAAATATACTTTTATAACATTAGTTCCCTTTTTTTAAATAAAATGTTATTCAATAAAAAATAATTTTCTAAAGTGATTTAGTACCACAAAGGTAGAACTAAGTGTTTTAAGTATAGTATTTATTCATATTCTATGAAAACCAATTTTGGAATAAATTTAAATATATTAACGTTAAACTTCATATCTATGAAAAAATTTATAAAGTATACATAATGAAAATTCATCTCCACTTTATCCATTCTCTTAGTTGCTTTTTTATATTTTTTCATATCCCACAATGGTTAATTACCCTTTCTCCTTGGGGTCCAGGTGGTCCTAGTTCCCCTCTTAAGCCTGCAGCTCCAGGTGCACCCGGCTGTCCTCTCTCACCAGGGAACCCTCGATCTCCTCGATCACCATGTGGGCCAGCTTGCCCAGGAGGACCAGGCAGTCCTGGTTCTCCATCCTTACCAGCTTGACCTGGGTTTCCCGGTATACCTGGAAGCCCCTACAATAATATGAATAATGTCTCCTTTATAAAAAAAAGTGAAAAAACAATAATACGAGAAGCAGAAACATTCGTAGAATTTGTACTAATCAAATAATTCAGTAATAAGACTTCAATAAATAAAGAAGTTGAAATTCTCATAAAACTTTCTTTCTTCAAACGTTCCACTCAAATGTATTATTTAGAAAGATTGACAGCTTACATCAAACTACAGTTACTAAATCTGATTTAAAGGTTTCAAATTATGTTTCTATCCTTTTATCATTTATTTCTGTCAATGTAATAAATATGAAATATGTTTATTGACTTTCAGCAGTTAATTTGAATGAATATTTACTAGTCTGAACAGCTTGGTTTACCTGAAAACCTCGAGCACCCTGAGATCCTGGTGCACCCCTCTCACCAGGTTCTCCTGGGGGCCCAGGCTGACCAGGTGTTCCAACAGGTCCTTGCTTTCCAGAATCACCAACTGGGCCTCGTTCACCTTTAGGGCCTGGCTGACCATCTTGACCATTTAAGCCCTGAAATATATTAATTTTCATTTACTTATATTAACAAAATAAGAAGATTAAATTCAAAGACACTGTAACATTAACTAGGAGACAAACTATCACTTCATTTGATGCAGAACTTTCAAATTTATGATCCCAACAGTAATGTATTAACTAGATATTATACAGTGTTAATGAGATATTTATAGCTAATATTACATATTATACAAAAACAAAATAAATAAATAAAGTATACTGAAAGATAAGGAAAAAACACTAATTAAGGTTTAAAAGAGGTAATAGTTGGAAAAGGAGATGCCATCTGTTTACTATGCTTTCAGATGTAATTAGGCTGGAATAGCTGAAATATTTAGGAAAAAAGTTCAAAACTAAAATTATACAGTTTTAATTGCACTGTCTCATAAAATTATTTGAAATAATAATGATTTGCATGCAGAAAAACTTAACAATAGCGTTTAAATTTAAATCATGCTTTTAAGGCAGTACCTATATTTAGCATGCTTACCTTACATTCCTAAAAACAATTTCATAAGCTAAAAATTCTTTTTAAATTGAACAAACCAATATTATCATTTTAGCACTTGAATTACCTCAAGTGTATGCCTTCAAATTAGTTGTCATGATTACAATAAATAATTATTGCTGTAAAATCGTGTCTTCAGGATTTTAGAGCCATGAGAGGCAATTTCTAAAGTGAGTTTTACAGTTTTGTTTTGTCAATGAGTGTTATAAAGTAATTGAACCCACCTATGTGGACTTTGATGAAAAGGAGACAATTATTTAAAGCTCTGGATACAACTGTGATAACCAAAAGTTATAGTGTTGATTTTAAAGTGATTATCACAGCTTGTATTGTAACAACAGAGATAAAGAAGAAGAATCTATCTTGTCAAAGGGTACTCTAAAGTAATTGAACCCACCTGTGTTGACTTTGACAAAAAAAAGAGACAATTATTTAAACCTCTGGATACAACTGTGATAACCATTAATGTCACAAATTTTTGTATTTATGTTTGACTTGCTTTGAATATATCATGATAAAACAAGTGGATTGTATGCTGTCTGTTTATTGATGAAATTTATCACCAACAAGTCAAACAGAATCCGGCCTTATAAAATCTAACACAAAGTTATTAGATTTCTTTTATGTTTAATGCTTCTTTTAAACTAATACAACAAATCATCTTCCATCTAATATATTTCAAAATTTCATACCGCATCTCCTTTAGGTCCACGTGCTCCTATTATACCTGGAAGACCTTGGATACCCTGAAATGTAAACAAAGCATAATTACAATATAAAAATTTATTCAAGATGTATTATAAATCTCTAATAATCCTGAGTTTTTTAATCAAGTAAAAATAAACTATGAAGTTGCAAGTTAGAGATATTAATTCTGATAATGCTTGATTCAAATTTTTGAAAAAAGTAGGCAAAAGCAGGTTAGAAACAAAATGCTGGAAAAACTAATCAATGGAATGTTTAACAAGACACATAAAGTTGGGACAAAAAATCACGAGATGCTTTAACCACATGAGTCAGGCATATACACATAGGTAAGAAAAACTAATACTGAAGACATGCTGTAAAGGATAAATGTTTTTACAAAGTTGGTGAGAAAAACTTATCCCAAGAATGCTTCATTCTAATAAAACTATAGATATGTAGGCTAATAGCTGCAAGTCTTTTGCTCAAAAATATTAACGTCTGATGTCATAACAAGGAAAAACTAATGTTATATTGTAGTGAAACGATCTTAAAAAGAGAATTCATTAACATCACTTTAAGACATGTAAAATACAAATCCTATTTTATTTTTTTAAATTTTATACTACATGAAACATGAGTGAATTAAAGAACCAAACTTTGTACAGTACTAAACTAGTAACATTAGTTCAACCAATATCATATTGTTTACAGGTAATTTTAAATGTGCTTAGGAGAAATGACATTAAAATAACACAGATTAGGTTTTAATGAACTGATTGAAAATTTAAAACTTTTGAAATAATCTTCATACCTGTGGTCCTTGGTCACCAGGCTTTCCATCAATTCCTGGTTCTCCCTGGAAATATAAATAATTATATTCTTAAAACATAAAATGATAAGTCCAATTAGGTAAAAGAATTATCAATAAATTACTTAAATTTGCAGATGATATTAAGGTTTTGGGTGTTGCTAGCTGTAAAAAGGATGTTGCTGATTTACAAAATATTTAGATCATTTACTGAGTTGGGCAAATAAATGGAAAATCAGTTTTAATTATAATAAATGCAAGATAATGCATGTGGGTTATCATAATTATAAGTATAATTTGGATAGGAATAACCTTAACAGTGTCATGAAAGAAGGGATCTTGATGTAATAGTTGATCATTCTCTAAAGCCACCCAAGCAGTGTGCTGTTGCTAGCGGTAAGGCAAATAGGATTTTAGGTTGTATCTAGAGAAATACTAAAAACAAGTCTAAAGAGGTTATAATTTCATTGTATAGGTCACTGGGTAGGTGACATTTGGAATATTGTGTTCAATCTTGGGCTCTTTATCTTAGAAAAGACACTGAATTGTTGGAAAGGGTTCAGAGAAGAGTTATTAGAATGGTGCCTGGGATGGAAGGGTTGTCATATGAGGAGAGGCTGAAAAATAAAAAGTTAGGGGGGATCTGTTTGATGTGTTTGAGATTGTAAAGGAAACTAATGGTGTTGATGCATCATAATTTTTCATACTTAACAGTAGGACCAGGGGACACCAACATAAATATTGGCAGCATAGGAGTCATCTTCAGCTAAGACAGTTATATTTTTCTAATAGAGTGGTAGACCTTTGGAATGGGTTGTCTTTGGATGTTGTGGATGCAGTAAATTTAAGTGAGTTTAAGAGAAAGCTTGATAAGTAAATGAGTGATAAGGGCTGGTTTTGAGATTTTGTTTACTTTTTAAAATTTAATTACTAATAGTTTTAGTTTAGTTTAGAGGATGGAACCACCAAGATGGACCAATAGGTCCCATGTTGTCCCAAAACATTATGTTATGTTAATGTACTATATGATAAGAACATACAGTAAAAAATTATTCACTCTAACCACTCTATGTGAAAGGTTTGTTTGTTTGTTTTGAATTTCGCGCAAAGCTACACGAGGGCTATCCGCGCTAGCCGTCCCTAATTTAGCAGTGTAAGACTAGAGGGAAGGCAGCTAGTCATCACCACCCATTGCCAACTCTTGGGCTACTCTTTTACCAACAAATAGTGAGATTGACCGTCACATTATAACTCACCCACGGCTGAAAGGGCGAGCATGTTTGGTGGGACTGGGATTCGAACCCGCGACCCGCAGACTGCGAGTCGAGCTCCTTAACCACCTGGCCATGCCGGGCCATCTATGTGAAAGGACATATATTTTTCTGTCTGAAAATAATCTCATTTCACTGTACTGTGACCAACTTATGATAACTGATTCTTAATGAAAATTAAAACAATCAACCACCTATGGGGTTATGAGTCTACTTTACTTCACCATACAGTAACCTAAGTTAATTTAGGCTGCGAATAATGTTATGACATTTCATCACAGATTCTCTTTTCAATTTGGCCTCTGGTGAAAAAGAACAGAAATCTTTAACATATACATAAAATCAACCACCTATTAAACATACCCTAATTCCTGGGTTTCCATCTTTTCCTCTTATTCCTGGTCGACCTGGTGGACCCTATGTTGAATGAAAAATACACAAGTATCAAGTCCCATATTCCTCTAACATTTTAATTATTAAATATTGCTGAAGTGTTGAATTTTTAATGAGTTTATAATCTTCTGAAGTACATAGTAACTTAGAAAAACAAAAGAACAACTTTATTACACAATATACCACTGAAAGAAATACATATATTTAAACAGATTTCTGAGCATATATATTTCCACAAGATTAACAGGGCTTTTAGAAAAACATATGACACTTTTCAGTTACTTTCAAATAAGTATTAATTGTCATATAACACATACCCCTAACTACAGAGCTAGACCAAAAACAATTAAGTAAAATACTTCTACTTTTAGAAGAGGCACAATCAATGAAACTTTAATACTTTATGTATGTTACAGTATTATACTATAAACATAATAATTACCATTTATGACATTTATTATTGTACTTTATTCTTAAGTATTAATGGTTTATTCAACCATTTTTCATTGAAAATTAAAGGAAACCAATAAATTGGACTGTTGATAATACAAATTTTGGAAACTAACTGGAACAGTTGATTGACTAAGGATACTTAAAATTACAAAGATCCAAATACCTTACCCGGAGCCCTTGAGGGCCTTGTGGACCTGGTCTTCCAGTATCTCCCTGAGAACATATATAAACTAATCAGTATGGCTTGAAAATAACTATCCATAAATTAAAATAAAACCAGGCTATTTCTAGGTAAAAAGGTTGGTTCTGTGCTTAAAATAATTTGGAAAATAAGCAATCAATAGAAAGTTTGATCTACAACACAGGAAGCTTAAAACCATTTCTTTGAGTACTGCTCCTCAAATTTTGAGTTTCAGTAGTGGCGTAAGTATGCTCCCGTAGCCCCTACAATTGTGAGGGAGACCGAGCCAAAAGGGAGCCTGAATCAGCCAGAAAAATAACTACAGTTATATGAAAATAAATATAGGGAGCCCAATTAATAGGGGGGGGGCACATCTTTTGTAGTTATGGCACTGAGTTTCAGTATATTTTAGTGGACTTAAATATTTACAGTATGCTGGTATCTGAAGGAAAAAAATTTAACAACAAAAATAATTTTTATTCCTAATTAATATATTTGAAAAAAATATCTGATTTGCTAAAAAAAAATTCTAGCCTACAATTACTCATCTCACTGTCAGGAGTAAAAATAAATAAACGAAGTATAGTATATTTTAAAAATATAAGCATGTTTCATTATAATATATTTTGAATACTTGTTAAACGCAAAGCATTAAGAAATGGACAAATAATAATTAAAGAAATTTCATAATCCAATTGCTTTCCTTCTTAATCTCAACCTAAAAATAATTTAAAAAACTCTAAAACTAATTTGTTGCTTTCTGTACACTGAATATCACTAGTGGATTCCAATTTTAAAGGGATTTTTCTGAAGAAAAAATCCACACTTTATAATCAGTATTAAAGTAATTAAATAAATATTATTGAATTCAAAAACTTGCTATGCTGTTTAATTCTCACATATAAGATGGCTAAAGTTTCCATGATACAAATATTATAAAGTCAGAACACATACAGTGATTCAATGGCAAACTGTTTGAGATATTTAATACTAATCCACTAATCTATACCTTCTTTAAGTCCTAAAAAACACAAATCTTAGAGAAAAAATAGGTTGTACCATCAAGCTTTCCATTTAAAAGAAAAATCCTTCATTAACTAGCAACTCCCAGCCAGGTGCTTTATGATAATGGCTCCAGCAAAAACTCATACTTATTTATACATACAGATTAGTTTTAACCCTTTTTAAAAAGGTGCTTTATGATAATGGCATGTACTCCAGCAAAAACTCATACTTATTTATACACACAGATTAGTTTTAACCCTTTTTAAAAAGATGCTTTATGATAATGGCATGTACTCCAGCAAAAACTCATACTTATTTATACACACAGATTAGTTTAGCCCTTTTTAAAAAGATGCTTTATGATAATGGCATGTACTCCAGCAAAAACTCATACTTATTTATACACACAGATTAGTTTTAGACCTATTTT